GTCCGGCTCGGCAAACACCTCTCTCAGCCGCATACTCTCGAGAACGGTATACCTCAGGGTTCCACCATCAGCGTAACGCTATTCCTGATAGCTATAAACCGTCTTATAGGTACAATAGATCCAGACATTGGAAAATGTTTATACGTAGACGACCTCACGATCTTCTACTCGGACAAAGATATGTCGAACATCGAGATTAAACTCCAAGCAGCAATAAACAGCCTAGTTACAGAAGCTCAAAGTATTGGTTTCCGCTTCTCAGCATCAAAAACCACCGCCATTCATTTTTGTCGGCTACGAACTGCTCACAATCATCCTCACCTGCTACTGAGAAACACCGCAATACAGATCGATGATACTGTTAAGCTTTTGGGGCTAACTTTCGACAGAAAGCTGTATTGGAAAGAACACGTCAATAATCTATAGTGAAATGCAAAAAGTCTATGAACATCTTGAAATGCATATCGAACATAAACTGGGGTGCTGACAGGGATACCCTTCTCTCGTTATATCGGTCACTTGTTCTGTCTAAAATCGAGTATGGATTAATCATCTATGGAGCCGCAAGGAAATCTCATCTACGACACTTGGAACAGATACATAACCAATGTCTGCGATTATGTATCGGAGCTTTTCGAACAAGTCCCTCGTCAGCGGTATACTGCGATTCAGGTATTCCTCCTCTTGATATAAGGCTCCAGCAGTTGACTATGAATTATAGTGTAAAGATTTGGTCACACCCACCTCATCCCAACTACAACATCCTATACGACCAAGCAATCAACCAAACCTTCCTGGACAGACCTACCATAACACGACCTTCAGGTGTAAGGATTCAAGAAATTTTGAATAGCATCGACCTCGAACTTCCTGACGTTTATAATCTAAAACATAGCTCAACGCCACCATGGACAATAAACAAACCTGTATTGGACTTGCAGTGTGCACGGTACAAGAAGGATGAAACCAATAGCTCCTTATTTCTTGCATTGTTTAATGACACTGTAAATAGTTACACAAACGTTAAAAATATTATATATACTGATGGATCAAAGTTAGCTGATAGCGTTGGATGTGCCTATACATCAACGGGACACGAGCAAAAATTTAAACTACATCCCATGACCTCGGTTTTCAGAGCCGAGCAACTTGCATTGCTTAAAGCACTGGAATATATAAATAACCACAATGAAGCAGGTACTTACCTAATCTGCAGCGATTCCTTTAGTGCCATTCAATCTATATCTGCCACAAATTCCTTTGACCCATTGGTTCAAGAAATACTTCATTGGCTTGTCTTACTGGAATCAGATCGGAAATATGTTATCTTTATATGGTCTCCAGGTCATGTAGGGATTCCAGGTAATGAAAGGGCTAACGAATTGGCCCGTGAAGCAGCAACCGATACTGTCAACGCCAACAACCTGGTCCACCCGGAAGACCTGACCTGAAAAATTTTCTGAAGAATAAGTTGATGTCTGTATGGCAAGAGAGATGGAATGGATGCGAAACTACCCTCAAAAGATACAAACCTACAGTTAAAAAATGGCACCTCCCATCACTACCACGAAGAGAAGAGGTGACGCTTACACGATTACGCATAGGCCATTGCAACATAACACACATGCATCTCATTCGCGGCCTGGATCCACCGCAATGCGAAAACTGCCAAACTCAGCTAACAATTGACCACATATTCTTGGAATGCCCAACATATTCTAGAGTCCGCCAATCGTTTGACATTATTAACAGCCTACAACGTGGGCTCTGTGGCAATGACGCCGGTAGCATGATAAACATCCTTAACTTCTTAAGAGAAATACAAGTTTTCCTGAAAATATAAACATGTAAGATGATACACTTATTAAACCCTGAATAAGATATTCCATAAAATAGCTTATACAAATAAACCAATAACTAAAACCATGTGACATATAATGCATAATAAACGTACATGCCAGTTACCTACTATTCTCTACTCGATGAGTACTTAACATATAATTCAGTATCCAAGACACACACTGTGTGATACTTGAAAAGTGAGAAAAGAACCCACCTATTAAATATATTGAGACTTTAAATATATTATTGATGATTGATATTACCTGTGATAAAATGCACTCAGATCTACCCCTGGGTGACAATGACATGTCCTATATGTGGAGGAGGGATACGGCAAATGACATCATCAGTCGAAGCCGTGGGAAAAAAAAAAAAAATAATAATAATTCAATAATTATAATTACAATAATTATATAATAATATAATAATAATCATAATTATGATATAATAATTATAATAGCAATAATAACAATAATATAATAATAATAATCTTAATTATAATAATAATAATAATAATTACAATAATAATAATCCCCGCAGGGGGTATCTACTTTTGAAGCCGGATCTTTGATCCCGTTTCAAGAGAAGATACATGGGGAGCGTCGCCCCCACGGCCCCAGGCAGGGAGTTCGGGGTTTGGTAGTCTTACTAATTCTGCCAAACCCTGGACTTTTCCTTCCCCTTTTCTCCCATTCTTTCTCCTTTTATTATATCCTGTACAGCTGTCCCTTTCCCTCGACTTTCCTCTCCTATCCTTACCCATGCGTTGAGGCGGCGTGTGGAGCTTCCTCTTAGCCTCCCGGGTGTTTGTGCCGTGCCCGGCGACCCGTAAGCTGGCCAATGGAATCCTGGTGGTTGAGCCCTACCAGTCAGGGGGGCAACACGCCACTTTGGTCCGGCGGTCAGTCTAGAAGGGCGGCCACGCCTAGCCCAGCGTTGGTCAATCGGCTGCGCCATCCCGTCAGAGGGCTGGCTGGGCGAGCCTCCACAGGTAGTAGAAGCCAGACGAGGATGGTTTGCTATCCTCGATGTATGGTGGAGCTATCTGTGGGGACTATACTTCCTTTGTTTCGACATTCACGGTATCCCTGGGGTTGTGTTCTAGCGGAAGGCGATAATGAGCACAATCTCCCGTTGAGGCTCCATGGAGGGTGGGGAGCCGAGGAAGTGAAGATCAGCATTTCGCATGGCAAACAAAACAAAAACCAAGGGTGTGCCTGCCCCCCTAAATGTAGGCAACGATGGCGAAGGTGGAGCTACATGTAGAGCTTCCACTGGACCGAACAATAATGTCAAGGAGACGGATGGGCCCGTCCCCCGGTTCCTTGTCATCAAGAGAGTTGATAATGATAATTTTGCAACAGTTAGTCCATTCCTTATTTCTAAGACCATAAATGGTATAATAGGAGACCCTAACTCTGTTAAAAAGATTAAAGCTGGCATATTGGTGGAAACAAAAACAGATGCCCAGTCTCACAGACTCATAAGAATACAGCATTTTACAGATATTCCTGTCACAGTAGAAGCCCACCCAACGCTAAATTCTAGCAAAGGGGTCGTGTACTGCAAAGACCTCTTAAATTGCCCTGAAAGTGAAATTCTCGAGGAACTGAAATCAGAAGGAGTAATACATGTACAGAGAATTAGAGTCAAGAGGGACAATGAACTGCGTGATACACCAAATCACATAATCACATTCAACTCCCCCAGATTACCATCGAAACTTAAATGCGCTATGTATAAACTTGATGTTCGGCAGTATATTCCCCCACCAGTACGCTGCTTTAGATGCCAACGGTACGGCCATACGTCATTGTCTTGCCAAAATGAACAGGTATGCATATGTGGAAAGGAGTTACACATGGGAAGACCATGTGATCGCCCGGTACAGTGCCTAAATTGTCACGGGCCTCACGTGGCTTCATCGAAGGAATGCCCAAGATACAAAACAGAATTGGCTATTCAGAAACTGATCGCTACTGACAAAATAAGTTATATTGAGGCCAAGAAAAAGGTGGTGGTGCATACTCCACAACCAAACGTGTCGTATGCACAAGCCACGCAAAAGAGCCAGGATGATGATATTATCGAAAAGATCATCCCACGTCTGACTAATATCATCCAATCTTCGATTTCTCAAGCACTGAAAGGCAAAGACTTCCATGAAATTGAGCAACCTCAATTCGTTACACCTCACCCAAAAGTATCACATAGCTTGTCTCTTAGAAACCACAGCCAATCAGATGCCTCTAATCAATCAAAAAGAAAGGCATCCTCACCTGTTGATGGGTCAGATCTCTCTGATGCAAGTCTAACGTCATCTCAGACCGACGACCCAGAATCCAGAAAAGGCAAGCGCGGCTGGCCGAAGGGTAGACCCCGAAAGAGGGCTGCTCCAGCTCAAACCAAGCCAGATCAAATCAACGCAAGAACTAATACTGCGTCTTGTGGACAACCTAATGCTTCAAACCCACAATCTGGAGACAACCAGATTGGAAGCGAACCTAACTGTGATGAACCTGTGATAATAGATAGTTAAATTTTAATATTTAATTCTATGTTAATTTATTCACCTTAATTTGATATTTGTTTACTTGTCCAAGTATTTATATTTATTTAATATTTACTTTTACATTATTTTCTAACTTTACATCCCGTTTTGGGATAGTTTCTCCATATTTTAATTGTAGGAGTTAAACTTTTTAGTACAATATGCAAAACATAATGCAATGGAATTGCAATGGTTGTGTGTCTCATTGAATGAACTTCGTGTGATGGTTAGGGAGAACGATCCTTTCTGTATTGCATTACAGGAAACCCATTCCGTCCAGAGACATCTTTCTCTCTTAGAAACTACAATACTTACCGCAAGGATGTCATACCAGACCGCAGAGCACGAGGTGGTGTGGCCTTACTCGTAAAGCAGAATATCATAGCGCAGGAACAGAGACTGGATACGGAACTTCAAGCTGTCGCAGTTCGCATCACAACGCCATTTGCTGCTACATTGTGTAGCTTATACTTACCTGATGGCGATTGGCATATTGATCAGTTGTACAGGCTTCTATCAGAGCTTCCAAGACCAATTATTTTGATGGGCGATTTTAATGCGCACTCACCTTTTTGGGGATCTATGCGCAGAGATATCCGGGGACGAACTATAAGGAATACATTGATTCATCGAACTTAGTTCTATTGAACTCAGGATCTCCTACGCACTTCGATATCAGAACAGCTGGATCCTCTGCTATAGATCTCTCACTATGCTCTCCACAACTGGCTACTAGATTATCCTGGAAGGTCTTAGATGATCTCAATTTTAGTGATCACTTTCCAATCATCATAACAACGGATGTCCCCAAACTTTTCTATCCGTCACATAAAAGATGGTTGACTGCGAAAGCTGATTGGAACACATTTTCTGAGCACCTTCGTATCCCTCCTCTAACTGAAGACATTAATACAGCAGTGGACGATATCACACACACGCTATAACAGATGCAGCAAAGATTAGCATTCCCATGACATCCGGGACCTCATCTAATAAAGCTGTGCCGTGGTGGAATGAAAACATTCAGAATGCAGTCAACGAGAAGAAAACCGCTCTGAATAGATTCAAGCGCAACCAACCATGGCCAACATGATCTCTTTCAAAAAACTACGTGCTAAAGCACGAAGGCTCATAAATGAGAGCCAAAAGAAATCATGGGAAACTTATGTCTCGTCCATAACTTCTGAAACACCTATCAAACAGATGTGGCAAAAGATCAATGTTATTGCAGGCAGGAATCCGTTTAGACCCCCAAGCGCTTTGAAGGTAGCTAATTCGGTAATCGAGGATGTTTCTTGCATATGCGACACGTTTGCAGACCAGTTTGAACACGCTAGCAGCAATGCAAATTATGATCCCAACTTTCAGCAGCTCAAACTAAATTCCGAAGCACAGGGAATCAATTTTGACACATCGGAACTACATCTATACAATGCACCATTCTCATATGAAGAACTCGAGTCTGCCTTAGAGAACTGTAAAGACTCTGCACCGGGTATAGATATGATACCTTACTGCATGATTCGAAACCTTCCAAGGTCTGTCAAAACTCAGTTACTACAGATATTCAATAATGCGTGGGTGCGAGGTATATACCCTGATGCCTGGAAGGTTGCCATTATAGTACCCATTCTCAAAGACGGTAAAGACCCTACTTCACCTAACAGCTATCGACCTGTATCGCTAACCTGCTGCCTGGGAAAACTCTTTGAAAGAATGATAAGTCTTAGACTAGTATGGTACCTAGAACATAACCAGCTGATCTCAAACAATCAGGTCGGCTACAGGCAGTACCACTCCACGGTAGATGCACTCGTAAATCTTGAAAATGCAGTCCAGGATGCATTCATTAAAAGGCGTCACCTAACGGCAGTCATGTTTGACCTGGAAAAAGCGTTCGACATGACCTGGCGCTTCGGTATTCTGAAACAGCTCCACGAATGGGGTCTTCGTGGCAATCTCCCAAAACTTATCCAAAATTTCTTGTCTCATCGCTCATTCCGAGTCCAGGTCGGAGACTCCAGGTCCTCGACAAGGAGGTTGGAAAATGGCGTTCCACAAGGATCCGTTCTAAGTGTTTCACTATTCATCGTAGCCATTAACTTCCTGGTTGATAGCACTCCTCCGAACATTCAACCCCTCTTATATGTAGACGATCTCTGCATATTCTCCACCGCCGCACTTGATGGAAACTTTGACCATCTGCAGGATGAAATAAACAGACTAGACTCTATAGCAAGGGATAGAGGGTATTCCTTTTCAGCAACAAAATCGACGTGCATCCATTTTTGCAGACTTCGCACAGCACATCCGCAGTCTCTCTCACACTGAGAGGACAAACTATAAAAGCTGAAAACTCTGTTAAGTTCCTGGGCATTATTTTTGACCACAAGCTCTACTGGAAGGATCAAATTGAACATCTCACAACTCGTTGTAGAAAATCTCTCAACCTGATCAAATGCATAGGAAATACCCGATGGGGTTCAGACCGCGAAGCTCTCATAAAGGTTTACAAGAGCCTAATCGAGTCTCGAATTGACTATGCCAGAGTTGTTTACAATTCTGCAAGACCATCCAAGATCAAGGCACTTGAAAGGATTCAATGGCAGCCCTAAGAGCGGCTACAGGGGCTTTTCGTACGAGTCCTTCAAGTGCCGTCCTCTGTGATGCTGCAGCAATACCCTTACAATTAAGAGGTGAAATGCAAACTGCCATCTATATGACTAAAATAAAATCTCTTACCAGACATATTAATCTGAGTATATTGGAAAGCGATAACGAACATACAAATCGTCCAACGTATACACGTCCAGCCAGAATCCGTAGCCTTGAATTCCAACAAGCGAACAACATATCAATAAGGGATGTGTTGCAGAGAGCCCCATACGACACTCCACCTTGGACTAGGTCAAAGCCACATATTGATATTCGCCTTTCTGTATTCTTAAAAATGAGACAGCACCCCAGGTGTATCTCGCTCGTTTCAAACAAATTACAGATCACCTCCACGATCATCTCTTCATATACTCGGATGGATCTAAGAGCAGTACCGGAGTGGGAGCATCAATAGTAGTTAACAGTGTTTGCCACATGTGGAGTCTGGATCCGATTTCAAGTATTTCACTGCAGAATGTTATGCCATCTGGCAGGCACTTCTATTCTTTGCATTGTCATCTAGCTTAGCGTGTTCGATAGTATCAGACTCTCTGAGTGTGATCAGCTCCATAGGGAAATAACTTCACCAAGGATGAAAGAATAAGTCGAATCTTGAACTTAACCAGCTCACTAGAAAATGACCATAAAAAAGTCCGTTTCATATGGGTACTAGTCATGTGAATATTATCGGCAATGAATTGGCTGATGCAGCGGCAAAGCAAGCAGCCACCATGGCACCGGATGAAGGCATTCCTACTCCGCTATCTGACTATGTAAAACACTTAAAAGACACCACAAAACAAGCATGGCAGCACAAATGGGAACCTATATGGACGGACACATGAGATCCGTCCAAACAAGTATCGAAAATGGACTTATCCGAAGCAACTGAATCGTCGGCAGCAGACAGTCTTATGCCGACCTACGAATTGGCCATTGTAAGTTGACCCATGCGTACCTGTTGGCCGGCGATCACAGACCACAATGTCTAGCATGTCAAACAGACCTCACTGTTCAACATATTCTGGTGGAATGTCGACTCTACAGTGATCTCCGCAGGGAACTACAGATTGTCTTCCAATATACAAACCCTGCTCAAAACGGAATGGCCAAAAGTTATGGATTTCCTGCTGCGCTCGGATACATACACCAAGATATAGATTACTCCTATTTCGTTACGCCTCCAGCCACTTCCACATCAACATTTTACGACGCATTCTCACCTACATCCCATACCTATCTGTACTTACCTTATTATCCTTGTACCATACTGGACAGCTCTGAAAAATAAAATGGTATGCACGTGGATCTCACATCATTAGACAACCGAAGAGGCAGCTTGGCTATTAAAGATCCTCAGTCACATGCGGAGTAAATATTGAACTTGTCTGTATACTATACTTACTGTATTTATACCATATAGTTGGTCTATGTCTTTCTATTTTCCATCTCAGATCTACCCCTGAGATTTAGGTTTGAAAAAAAAATAAAATAAAAATGACCTAATGAGGCAGGAGGGAAGCGGCTAATGACCTAGAAGTCGATGCCGCTGTGTGTGGCATAAAAAAAAAAAAATAAATAATAGTAATAATAATAATATTAATAATTGTAATAATAATAATAATAATAATCATAATAAGTTATAATAATTATAATAATAATAACAATAATGTTAATAATAATGATAATTATAATAATAATAATAATTATAATATTATCATAATAATAATAACAAGAATTACTATAATTATAATTATAATGATAATATATAATAAATAATAATATAATAATAATAATTATATAATATAATAATACTAATAATAATAATAATAATAATTATAATAATTATAATCAATAATAATAATAGTAATTATAATAATAATAATATAATAATAATAATAATAATAGTATTAATTATAATAATCATAACAATAATTATAATAGTAATAATAATAATAATTATAATAAAACCAATACTAATAATTATAATACTAATAATAATTGTAATTATAATTGTTGGAACGCGTAATAGCGTCACCCGCCGCGCCGCTACTGGCGAGACGACCAGACAGGTTGCCTAACTAGAAGCTTGTAACCGCCGTCCTGTCCCCGCGCGCCGCACCTCGGAATGCAGTCAGTAGTGAGAGTCAGTCGTGGGAAGTAGTCGAGAGTACAACAGCAGCCCAGAACACGCGCGCGGATCGCGGAACGCGGTAAAGCCCGGTCTACACCTGTAGCTTATCTACCCATTCATGTACAAGTACTGAATAAACTGTTCTGAACCGAAGACCACTGCGAGTTGATTGATCTGCTTACCTATCCTCAACAGGTTACGTGCCCAGAAACAGTGCTACGGACATTGAACAATATTGCAAGTGCTGAAGATAATATAGGAAGTGGTGTGACTAGTGTTATCCAAACTGAGTGTGGCACAAAAGTATCCTGTATAGACTCGCTCTAGCAGGGATAACTACGGACACGTGGAAAATACAGATGAGGGCATTGCGGTAAGAAACGACACTGGAGTTATGTATCTGCGAGATAAAGCAGCCACGGATAGATGATTGGGGACGAAGCATCCACGAGAGCTGTAGAAGCCTGGACTAAAGGTGACAGCAAGGCGATGTCGGACATAATTTTGTCAATAGGCCCCTCAGAAATCAAACAGGGTAAAGAAATGTAATACATCCAAGGAACGGTGGCAAAAGTTGGAGGGTATTTACCAATCAAAGGACCCGCTAGAAAGGCCACATTGCTCAACAGCTTACACTGCACGTATGGAAGAGGGACAGGACATACGATGTCATTTAAACTCATTTTTCGATGCAGTTGACAAGTTAAATGCATGGATTGTAGAAATCAATGCCGATCTATTAGCGATAATGCTATTGTATAGCCTGCCAGCCAGTTTTGAAAACTTCAGGTGTGCAATGAGTCTAGAGACGAATTACCATCCCCGGAAATTCTTCGAATAAAAAATATAGAAGAGTATACTGCGCGGAAAAGGCGACGTTCGAGAAACGGAAGGCGCCCATTGTCGTGAAGCGGAATCAGGGTTGCCAGACCTATTTCTATAAGTCCCCCAGCCTAAATAACAAATTCCCCCAAAAAGCACATCTTTAAAAAAAATCTCCCAAAACTTTCAAAGATATTTATATTATTATTATACTTTGCAGGTTGGCTAAGATTGTCTTATGAGTATGGTATTTATGGTAATAACACTAATAACTAATAACAAGTAACATAAAATATATTTTTTTACTATCATAATATACGAGTAGTATGCTACAGCTCCGAGAATGCATTTAAAACTTCTTCCCTCCTCCTTTTTGCAATCATACATTCTTTCAGAATTGAAATATTGCAACATATTTTCAGTTGGTTGAAAATCTGTACAACCATTTTTTAAATTGCACAGGTACCATCGAACTCTCATGATAGCATCTGTACTATGAATGCCAAGCGATTTCTAAGTATGTTTTTTACCACATTTATAATGGAAAAAGCTCTCTCAACTGAAGCATTAGAAAATGGAAGGCTAAGTAACGCAAGAGCTAATGATGAAATATTTTTATATCTAGGTTCCCCTGCTGCATCGACGTTATTTGCCACCTCAACCCAAAACTTTTCTGTATCATGCAGGTTTATCCAATTTATTCGAGGAAGTGATTTCCATTCTGCAATTGTACTATCAAGGTCAGGACATATTTGTTGAGAAAGATAAAGCAATATTAGTTATTTCAGGTTGACGTATCTTGGATGTAGCTAATTCGGGGTTAAATGAATTTATTTTCTCCAAAATATTCATACTTTCAGGGATTCTCATTTGAATTTGTCGACATAATTCCACTAAAAAATCTTTACATCTAGTTCGCACCATTAGTAGTTCATCTTGTTTAATTGCTAAGGATGACGCTTTTGAATTGAACGAATATCCTAAATTTATCAATTCTATATCCATAATGTAATCTTCAAATTTGAAATCAACGACGTTATTTTTTGAAATTTATTATTTATATTATATTTTCATAGGTGGTACTAAAATACTTAGGTTATTGAAAAGTAATAAATTCAAATCTTCCATTAATTTCAGTGGATCTGCACACTCTGACTGAAACAGTTATTAACTCTAATTATTTCTTTCAATGTCCAACTCAAAAAGGTGAAATATAATACATTAGTTTGGTCCGATAACATTTGAAACAGCTGTTCAGCCATATAACACCTTTCATTATCTTTTACTATACCAAAGTGTATTTTTAATGCATCCCATTGTTCTAGAATTTTAACTATCGCATTGTATCTGGCTAGCCATCTGGTTCCTGATAGTTGGTCAATTTTTAGTGGTTTTTGATCCGTAGTGTTTCAAATATTTGTTTGTATGCTATTTGAATTTTTGTACTACAAGAGAACCAATTGTGGCATTCCTTGATTATAAAGTCCAAATGACGAGGTAGAAGTTTAAATGCATACTCTCTGCTGCCAAATGCAGAGAATGACAGACGCACTTAATAATAACAAGTTCATTATTCTTTGCTTTCAAAAAGAAGCTACTGAATTATGCGCTCCAACCATAACATTGGCTCCATCAACACCGATTCCTATTAGATTGCCTAATTTTAAACCGTCTAGCTCCAGTTGTTTTGTCACCGCAGCCGAGATAGTTATGGCATCTCCCTTTTCAATTTCGATAAGTTTGTAGAAAGTCGTAACAATCTTAGTTTGCTTTTTACTAAAATATTTATCATAACGCATAGCATTTTTGTGGAATCGACTGCAGTGCTCATCTATAATCAATGAATATTTACTATCTGCAACATCCAAAAGTAAGTCATTTAGTATTGAAGGAGCCAACACATTCAATATTAAAGATGTACATTTAGTTCTGTGTAATTTAACGTCATTTAATATTTCAGATGATTTATCTAATTTTTTTAAAAGTGATCCAAGATGATCAATTGTTGCAAGTGAGCAGTGCTCACATATGAATGCAGCAATTTTTAATTCTGCTATTTTCCTGCTGGCGGTCAAACCTTTTTTCATAAACTCAGTAATTTTTTTACTCGGGCCAGCCAAAGATCTTTTCTCTCGCCTCTTGATGTTTCTTACTTTTACCGTGAAGCAGTAAGTCTTTTTTATGTGCAGCTAAAGTACATTTACATATCTTACAAAGCGACTTTGTCTCATCTGCTAATACAGGACCAATCCATCCTATATGGAATGAATAATTATAATTAATAACCCACACCATCAAAATTTCAATAGATTACCTTTAAGTTCAGCATCGGATTCCCAAGCAACTCGGTATTTTCGGGTATATAACGACTTCTTTTCTTTAGGCATATTTAGATTGACACGTACAACACTAATTTGGATAAACCATGCGTATTGAACACTCCAAAGTAAAAGAAATATAGCCTATAAAGTTAATGATAGGAAAGGAAATAAAGTTACACGATTCTCTGGGTTTCACATAGATGAGAAACACTTATTTAATCGCGCCAAATAACGCACAAATACAAAATATTTTGCCGCTATTGAAGGAAACTGTAATGTAGGTGCTTCAGAATAATTTTAATAGTTGTTGAAAGATGGCAGGATTATCTGTAAATGAATTTATATTTATTCAAAGTTGTTCTCGAATTCCAATAATTCAATTGAAACTTGAAAATTGGTCGGACGACAGAATGTCTTCTTAAAATCGCACCCCAAAAAACCCCAAAACGGAATAATTTTCCCCCAAAAAATCCCCCACGCATTGCATACCCCCAAAAATTCCCCCAAGCAATGAAAAATACCCCAAATTTGGGGGAAAATCCCCCAATCTGGTAACCCTGAGCGGAATTATGGGAAAAATCACGGTCACGCAGGAAATGGCGGACGGGGCAGCGGCGTCTCGGAAGGTGCACGAGGCAGCGGCGTCTCGGAAGGCAGAAGAACGTTCAGGTATAAGTGTCACAGATGCCGAAAAGTAGGCCACAAGGCCGCTGAATGTCCAGACAAAGGTAAGACTGTTGCCAATTCTTACAAAAGTGAAGCGAACTGTTCCGAACACGTGGGACTCGTTACCGCGGAATGTTATCATGTTGAACAGAATCACAAAAGACTGAAATGGTGTCTAGACAGTGGCGCAACGTCTCACTTATGTAAAGACATTAGTTGTTTTTCTGACCTTGAACGTAGACATGATCATTTGAATTTAGCAAATAGTGAATTTACGGACATTACAGGTTCCGGAACAGCTACGTTTGTTGCTGACGTTTTTGGCGACACGAAAAACATCTCACTCCACAAAGCTTTTCATGTTCCCGACCTAAGAGTAAACTTACTTTCTGTTGCAAAGATTACCGATAAAGGATTTGAAGTTTTATTCAAGAAAGAAAATGCTTTGATCTATGATAGTAATGGTGATATAAAAGTTGTAGCCGATCGTAGTGGCGATTTATACTACGCGAGAGAAGGCGAAGCGCAGAATAAATCAGCTTTCATTTCGACCATGAATTCTAAAAATGTCAAACTATGGCATCGTAGATTAGGACATTTGAACTTTCAGGATTTGAATTCTTCATTGAAGAAAGGAAGATTAGGTGGAATAAATATTGAAAATATGCCTAATAATGGGGAACTTAATTGCGAAATTTGCATACGCGGAAAAATGACGCGTTCACCATTCCCGAAGAAGTCCGACAGGGAATCGGAAATGCTAGAAATCGTACATACTGATGTTTGCGGTCCCATGCGAGTAGAATCTCACTCGAAGTACAAATATTTTGTCGAATTCATAGATGATTATTCTAGGTATTGCACGGTATTCTTCATGAAACATAAAAATGAAG